GGGGGAGAGAATCCATAGGAAAGTGTTTATTCCTTCCTCCAGATAACCAATAGATAAGGTGTTTAGACACAAAATCTGTCTTACTGGAAGGCGTCCTCGTGAGCTGTCCAAATTACAAATTTGGTTCTTTGGCCTATTTTTTATTTTTTTTTAATCATCTTTATAGAATCATCAACAACACTTGAAAAGAGAGCAGACCTCAAAGACGCATATCAACGTTGAACACTGACATGATCTCTTTTTAAAAAAATTGGATGAAACTGCTTGAAACAGAGATTGGATAAGTTGGGAAGCTCTTAAATATGTCTAAGGAAATAGTAAAGCTGCAAACGCTTGTTACAATGCTCGCTTTTCATCAATATCTGAAATGTTAAACTCTATCAATTCTGTCACTTTCTAGCAGTATCCAACTGACCTGCCTCCTCCCACACCTTCCTGTTGACCAAAGATGCCACCCATCACAGTGATGGACCAATAGGGATGAGCTCCAGTTCAGTCCGAACTTGTTTGTCCGATCCAGAAGGAAGCTGTCAGTGCAGGGCCAATCAGCTGTGACGTTCCTCACCCCTCAACTGTATGTAAACAAAGGGGCGGGTTGCTTGTGATTGTATTGACCTTATATGGCCACATTACCATATTTGGTTAATGAATGTACAACTGATTGGACCGGCACTGACCACTTCCTTCCGGGCTCTGACCTGAGCTCATCCCTATAGACCAATATGGTGGTTTGGGAGATGGCATTACAGTTCTAAATTATTGATTTTGAAAGTTTCAGTGGAAAAGTACTCCAACGAATAAGGGGAGGGACATACCAGAGCCTCCTGAGTCACATCAGTCTGAAGCGGCTTGCTGAGCATGTCATGGCTCTGAGGGTTCTGGGATGTAAATGTGGGGCACCTTGTGGCTTCTGATGATAGTGGCATCCTTTGTAACACATGGCAACCATGTGCATGCATGTTCTGTTTTCTTCCAGTGTATCCCCGAACCCCCTTAAACCACAGGATCTCTATTGTGCCAACGCCTCACTTGCTTTGCTGAGTCAGTGAAGGCTATTTACCATAGTAATAAGCCAATAGTGAGGATCTGGAGAGGGCAATGCAAGAAACCAAAAGCCAAGTTAAAGTCTGTAATTGTGTAAAGACTTTGGAAGTGCACTGGAAGATACAAACATGTCAGACACCACTTTATTGCCATGGAAATCACTACAGGGACACTTTAAAGTGACACTAAACTCAGGCGTTAAATCTTAAAAATACATTCGAGTGCCTTAAATATTAACAAAAATGTATCTTATTTGTGTATCACTCGGCTGTAGATCCTCAAATCATCTCTGAATTGGTGCTGACACTGTCCTTCCTTCTGGAGGGGGGCAACTTTTGTTCCCCATGGTCCCTGTGTGTGTTGTAAAGTAGTCGCCGCTCCAAGCTCACTCCTGTGATAGACTATAATCTCAATACAAATCAATAAACGAAACATAAGATTGTAGCCCATCGCAGGAGTGAGCTTGGAGCGGTGGCTACTTCATAACACACACGGACCATGGGGAACAAAAGTAGCCCCCTCCAGAAGGAAGAACAGTGTCGGAACGGGACTAGAGCGAAGAGTAATGTAATGTGGGTGTCAATGGGTGTTTCTAGGTGGTAAACTCAGAACATAACACCACACACAGGATCATTCTTATGTCACTCTTGTAGCCTGGAGAACTACAGGGGGGGGGCATGTAAACAACAGGAAATGCTGTGGAATGCTTCCTGTCACACAGCCGGAAATTCTATTACAGACTTTGGTGTGGAGAGAATTTGGCAGCAGCAGTGGCAGAGCAGTAGACCATGGAAATCCCCTTACCAACTAGAAGCCTAGGTAAGTAAAATAATAAAAACCGGCTTCCCACTTTAAAAATGGTTGAGAAACCAAAAACTACCTTTTGCAGTTCGACTGCCCAAGCAATGCAAGGGTTTAATGTTCGTTTAAGTCTATAGTAGCAGGAAAAGACTTAAACGTACCTATTCCCAGCTTCCGCAGGCTTCTTTCAGGCTACAAGATCAGCGCCTGCAGCCTTTCCTCCCCTATGCTCCAGAGGCCCACTGATGCCCCTAGCCCTGCATTATACATGAGGACGGCAAGGGACAGTCCACAAGCCTGGAGCATAAGGTAAAGAGGTGAGCACCAACTGCTGGGGAAGTAGGATCAGGTAAGTAAAAGCAAAAGAAAGAAACCAAATCCTTTAAATCAGCATTTAACCCTTGCAGTGTGGGGCAGCACCCCTGCAAGGGGGTGGTTTGTGTTTTCCCCCGGAGATAGGATTTAATCTCTGGCTATTCGGGGAGTACTAGTACTGAATATTAGGAGTAACCTATTAGCAGGGGTTACTTGGCTACATTGTTGCTTAGCAGTGGATACAATTGAGCAACACGAACCTATATGGGATGAGATTGGCTGGGATTCCAAGTTTTTTGTTTTTTTTTAGGCTGGTTTGATTGGTTATAGGCTTCCTCCCTTCACATGAAATTTACACAATTGTATTACCATGCACAAGCAATAGAGGGCAGTGCAAGGAAGGAATAGCGTTTCTCCATTTTCACATCCTTTACACATGCTTGAAGTTGAAATTGTGAAACTGAAGTAGTGAAGGTTACTGGTTAGAATTTAGACTTTTGTTTTCTGTACCACTAGCAGAACATGTACTTGAGTCCATTTGGTCTAAACAAGAACACTAATAAATAAACATTTAAACAATCATACTAAATGAAATCCACAGGTATGCTGCCGTTGTATCTGACCCAGATCAAGCATGCAGCAAGTGATCTGTAAGATATTGGACCAACAGACAACTTGCATTCTAAATAGGACGGCAGCAATGGCAGGTGGTATCTGTGACCAGTAGGGAGGCTTCTTATGCAGAATGGGTTGGAGCTAAGTCCAGCTTTAGTAGGAGAAGCTGACTACCACCATACCCCTTAAAGAGACTTTGCTGCTCCTTTTTGGATCTCTCATACAACCTACTTTTTTTTTTTTCTTATGGGGCTTTCCCTTAAAGGACCAAGGGGAACTCTTGAGAGGGGACGGGCCCAAGCTTGACTTTTACAGAAAGTCAAGATTTACATATAACTTCAGTTGCCTAAATTTCTGGACCTACAAATCGCTTTAACATGTAGTTTTCACTAAATATAACGTCTGCTGATGCTAATATGTTTATATGCCATTTTGTCTTGAGCAAGTTTGTGATATGTCCCTTGTAATTTGTCCAGTTTATGCTCTGAATGTCTTGCGATCTGATTTGTCAGTGGAATAATGCTGTTTCCTGACCTATGTTCTCCTCTGCTTGCTTTATAGAGCCACAGTGGTCGGTTCCAGTACAGCAAGCACATACATCAACCCAGCTGCTGGTTATAGCGCGAACCCTGTCGCTGGAGATCTCACTATTTATCAGACTGGTACCAGTATGTCCCAGGTCCCACATTACACACTACCCCCTGGAGCGCTATCCCCACCTGCAGCCAGCCAAGATCAACAACAGACTTACCAACAGAAAGCTCTTCTATAGGTTCCCAGCCTCCTGGACTTTATATATTAGCCCTAGCACCTATATAATGCCTGTAAGTAATGTGACCAAGTCCTTTGGTAAAGTGCACCTGTCACTTTGTAACAGATCTAATGCCTTTAAGGAAAGGTCAGGGGGTTAGGCCATGTACTTCTTAGTACTGTAAAGGTTTTAGTATATTTTAAAAGGAAAAGTTCAAACTCCATTTTATTTTAAGGCCTAGTTTTTTGTTATTTCATGTTCTTAGTTCTACCTGTTACATATCTGCTATTCATACCTCATTTACCTAGATATGTCATTGTCCTCGTTGCTCAGATCTACATATGTTTTGCAAACTATCTGCAGATTCCCAGTTGCTTCTCTTCTCCTGATAATACACACAGCCCTTTTTCAGCTGAATTGTTTAAAAATTGTTGAGTTCTGCAGTATTGTGAAGTATAACATGTCCCATCATCCCTCTGTGCTTTCAGGGCTGCATAACGGTAAACCTATCAATCCTATTACCGTATACAAGTTGTTATACAGAGTTTACATAGCCGGCTTTAAGTTTAACCTTGCTCTCAAACGTTGCAGTGCAGAGCTTGTTAATCAAGGTAGCAGACAAGCCATGTGTTCATCTGTCTTCCTGTCTATCACAGGAAGGGGAAGTCGATGTATTCCAGGGAATTATGCTGGCTGTTTCTTGTTCCGTAGAAACATTTTAAGGCTGCTATTCGGACAACAGGAAATTGGACTGAGCTGTGCAGATACATTAAAGCAGGCATCGAAGTATGGTCATTTACACATTTCACATTCGTACCCTACATATGTCATATGCCCAAAAGGTGAAGGTTCATGAAGGCTAAAAGAACTAGCTATCCTGCGCCTTTGCGACATTGTGTCTGCTACAAAATGACAGGTCTGCTTTAAACTTTGCCTTTTTTTTAATGTAGTCCGTTTAGGCAACCGTACGTTGAACAAAACCTAGATTGCACTGACCTTAATCCACCTTAAATTTTGTATCATACACTACAAAAGTAGAAGATGTATTGTACAAAGCTGACTGAATGAGGCTTCTGCTTTCTGTAACCCTTGTCGCACACATGTGGGTGCAGATAGTGATGTGTCGTGAATCCATTTTTTTTTTGTTTTTTTTTTTTTGTTCACGGTGACCATAAAAGTGACATTTGATGGTGACTTTGTAATTTTCAGTTAAACTATATTTTTGTAAGGATAACCTGTAGCTCTCTTAATGACCTATAGAATTCAGTTTTTTGTGAATTCTGAGGGAGAATGGCAAAGGTGGTGTCCTATCAGAAAATGAAGTATACGTGTGATGTTTAAACAAATATATTCTACTTCTACTGGACATTCAGTAGCTAAATGTACATGGGCTTGTATGAAAATGAACCCTTACTCCACAACCCACTTAAAGTGGAAATAAACGCACCTACCATGGCTCCCTCGCAGGTGCCGACATCTTTTTTTGGGGAACAGGATCTTGTTTGCATGCAGAGACTATCTACAGGGCTGCCCATGCATTTTAAATATGATTCCAAACAGGCAGGTACTTCTGTTTTTATTGTAAAAGACATAACATGCCTCTTCTGCTATTGAGAGTCTGTCTGATTGATTGATTATATATATATATATATATAATCAATCAATCTATCTATATACTTTTTTTTTAATTATTTAAATGTTCCTTTTTAAACTAACAGTTCAGTTGGGATGTAATGTTAACATCCAATGTTTTAAAGTGGACTGATCATCTATTGGTCAGTCCTCTGATGCCTGGGTAGACCTCGCAGCCAGGTTCCTGCATGTTCTGTTTTTTTCCATAGTATCCCTGGACCCCTTTAAAACCACAGGATCTCTATTGAGCCAATGCTCACTTCAGCTAGAAATTCAGCCTTTTGGCCCACTCCTCACGTGCTTTGCTGAGTCAGTGAAGGCTATTTACCATGTCTGGGTAGATGCCAGTGGGCTGAATCCCACTCTAGCATCATGCGTCTCTCCCGAGCGGGAATTGTGAGAACTCTGTACTTCTCCTATCCACTATCCTGATGCAAGCATCACAAGGCGATGTTATCCTCCTTGCTCATGGAGATTTAAGCTGAAGGCGTGGTGTAGATTGAGTAATCATGAACCCGGAGGAGGCAGAGCGGGAAATCTGGTAAAGAGAACCCTGCAGAGATGGAAAAAGCCAGCGGATGATGCAACCCTCCAGTGTCTGTCTGCAGCTAAAATATTCGTTTGGGTGGACAGACACTTTAAAGGGGACCTGTCTGCTAGAAGGGCTGTTTTCAGAATTGCGTCTTTCTGCAGTAATAGAATCAGAACCCCGTGCTTCCCGTTTTATGACATATCTGCTAGATGCCTCAATCTGACATCAGTTCATCCAAACTTTGCTCACAATTCCCTGATGCAAACTGGAATTTACAACTCGGCCATCAACCCAAAAAAATTAAATGGTGATGAGGAACACCTAGAGGTGCCTACAGCAGCTTCAGTGTCCCTACTGTGCCCAAATGCCGGCATATTCAGATTTTTAGTAAAATGTCTGCATTGATAATCCTGGTAGTGTCCATGCCTGCCTCCCAAACATTTTTATTTTTTAGTAAGGCTGATCATAGTGATGAGCCAATAGGAAAGCAGGGGGAGGAAGTACCACCAAGGAGTAGCAGAGCTTTGTCCGATCAGAGTGGCAGGCCCTCCGTCATAGTGGGGCAACTAGAAGCTGCTGCACACTTGTACAGGAACTGCTAGATCAATACACTTAAAGGCTGAGTTCACCTTTTGCAAAAATTAAAGACATGCATATTTAATAATTATAAAAAAAAAAAGAATTGCTTTCATTTTTGCATTCAAGCCTGGGAAGCATTGCAACGGTGATCACTCGATCAGGGCTGCAGAGTTCAGGCTTCAGCACATTCTCATACAGGCAGAGCTCCATAATGAGGTATAGTTTCAAATAGGAGGGATGGGGAAGGACGGCTGGATGGGAATAAGGATAGCTCTACCACATCTAACCAGAGAGAGGACGGCTGGATGCTGTTTGAGGTCACCTCATACGGCGTCCAGCCGTCCCCTGCCTGGTTAGATGCAGTAGAGCTATCCTTATACCCGTCCAGCCGTCCTTCCCCATCCCTCCTAACTGAAACTGAGCTCTGCCAGTATGAGAATGTGCTGAAACCTGAACTCTGCAGCCCTGATCGAGTGATCACCGTTGCAATGCTTCCAAAGCTTGAATGCAAAAATGACAGTGTAAAGCGTATTTTGTTTTAAATATTATTAAATATGCATTTCTTTAATTTTGGCAAAAGGTGAACTCAGCCTTTAATGTGTATGTTAGTGCAAAATTGTAGATATAAATAAATGATCTCATGCCTAATATGAGTTAAATAGGCTACAAGTACTAAAGCGAAACAAATGCCCACAACTAGATTATATATCGTATATGTATTTAAAAATATACAAATAACAAAAATAAACACAGTGCGTATATAAATTCCACCGTGATATAAAACGGCCCCAGCTGAAAAAAACGTATTGTGATGCTCTGCTGAAAATCACATCATCTGGTAATGCTCCATGGCAAAGCTCATTTTAACAACATGCAAATATTGTAGTAGTCCAAATCCTATGAAGATCCGACTCCAACAATTCTCCAATCCTCCACTGCGTGTATGTCACTCCAGACACTCCTACTGAAAGCCGCTCATCATTTACAGAGACTCGCTAATCCCCTTATATTCAGGCGGGACTGCACCCAAATCCATGGACGCTCTCAATCTGGTCTACTTCCAAAATTGTATCAGAGTTCCACCTCGCATTCGATTGCAAGTAGAATAGAAAACTGAGGATTTACAGATTGACGTCAGATTGATGTATTACACTAAAGCGGTCACCAAACTGCATAATCAAAGGTTACCCCAATGAAAACAAATCAGCAGATCCACCCATATGTACAGCAGAAGTTTGACGCAAACCTTGTCCATTTCCTGTAAAAGTTGTCCTGAAGCCTTCCTACTGGGAGGAAGTGTTTGTCACCAATAGGGAAGCTCCAGGAGTGGAAGGGGGAGGAGTCATGGGAAACTTTAACAGGAAAAGGATTAGCAGATCCACCTATATGTGCAGCTGATGTTGTATGCAAATCGTGTCTATTTCCTGTAAAAGTTGTCCATGGTCCTGTCCAAGCCTGTATATTGGGAGAAAGTGTTCTCACCAATATGGAGGCTCTGGGGGCGTGTGGATCTGTGAGCAACTTTTACAGGCTAATTGGACATTTGAAGTTTTTCCATCCATATCTCTGGATCTTCGGATGTTGTGAAATTCCCTTTTCACTGAACCTAACCTTGGCCTTTACATTTTTCATGATGTACTCCGTTTGAGTCTGCTAAGAGTTTAGTGCCCAGAATGTGAGGCCTTGTCTGTGATGAAAGGCTTCCCTACGCATGGTAACTACTACCGTAGCTAGCTCACTGGACTGGGATCAGTTTGCTTGGATGTTTGCAGAAATCTTGTATGAATCCCAAGTGACTGGAGCTCAGGGCCACCTTTGTCCCAGCAACCAATGATGCTTTGTGGTTGAACAGCGTCACTGGTTGCTAGGACAGTAGCCATTGGGCCGAATGGCGTCATTGGTTGCTAGCACGCAGGCAGGTGCACCATAACAGCCAATAGCAGTCTTGGCAGTCAATGATGCTGTGCAGGCCGCTCAGCCTGATCTGTTGCTAAGGATACTAGTGGCTGATTCACACAGCGTCATTGGTTGCTAAGACGCTGGCAGACCCATAGCGTCATTGGCTGTTATGGTGCGACCACCAGCGTCCTAGCATTGTGGTTCACGCACCAGTCACCCAATGACGCCATGCAGCATCATTGGTTGCTAGGGCACAAATCAGAGATGGGCAACTCCAGCTGTGTTATAACTACAAATCCCAACGAACCTCTAACACTGTGAGTAATGCTTGTAACTGTCAGTCTGGCAATGCTTCATGGGACTTGTAGTTCCACAATGGCCGGAGATGCCCAACCCTGACACAGATAGGATTTTAATGGGCAGGTGAACTGACCAGATTATGAACTCCTGGTCAACCCGAAGCACATTCCTAATAGTAATGTGTTATCCTTGGTGTGTTGTGGCATTTGTGTAGAAAAACAACCTAACGCACAACTACAGTAGTACATAGCATACCTATGCTGCAGTGTACCACAACACGGGGGGGACAGCATCAAGCCCATTTTCGCTTCTTGCTTCTCTTGTTAAAAGTAGAAAATGATCCAGCTTCCTTTTAACACAGTGGGGGGAATTTATCGAATCTGGAGCAGTTGCCCATGGTAACCAATCAGCTCCTCTCCTCAGTTTGCTCAGGTAAGATGTGAAAATGAGACAGAGAAGCTGATTGGCTGCAGTGTAAATCTGCTCCAGTTTTTGATAAATTCCTCTCAATGGAGGGGATTTATCAGAACTGGAGCAGTTGCTTTGGGCAACCAATCAGCTTCTCTCTTCAGTTTGTTCAGTTAAGTTTTGAAAATGAAAGAGAGAAGCTGGTTGGTTGCCGGTCAGTGCTGCTCCAGTGTCTTAAATGGGCCGCAACATGGACATTTTATAACTGGCTTTACCTGTTTTATTAGTTTTCACCCTCTGTAGACCTGACAGGTTCAATTTGTAAACGGCAAGCGGCAGTCATCCTCCACTCTGCTTCACCATTTTCATATTACACATATTTATTATTGATAAGCTACTGAAACCTTTTCATATTTATAAATGTAATTATAAACTCTCTCATCGCCCCCCCCCCTTGGTGTATTTTACATCTCATGGTCCTGTCATGGTCCAGTAAGTGGGAACATGTCATATAGATTAACCTATGTGGCTGTATAGGTGACAGGTACTCTTTGATTTATTCCAGGATCTGTGTTGGGTAATCTTGATGAAAAAGATAAAATACAGTGTTTTTTTGTACTTTTTTGGTTTTGTTATTTTTCAGTAAAATATCTTTTCAGGACCAGTAAAACTGTATGAAGGGCAAAGTACTAAAGTCCAAAATGGTAACCAATCAGAATCCATGTTTGTACTGGTCTGACATCAAGTGAATTCTGATTGGTTGCGCTGTTTATTGTCTGACCTGATGGTATTTTGAGGTATAAGGATTTGCACCAAAGAGAGTTTAATAAAGATGACTTTTTTGTTTTTAGAAGACATCCAGTACAGTATGCAATGGAGTATATAAATATATATTTTCACTCTTAGATGACATGAAGGGATTATTGAAAATACTTTTCCCCCCCCGGACCTCATTCTTTTAAAAACTACAGTTTTGTTTTTGTTCTGTGAATCTGTTTTTATGGATACATTTGTACATAAATACACGTGTATAGAAATGTTTAATTTAGTGAATAAGTTATTTCTTTACTTTTGGTTAATTTGCTGAATTTGGTCTTCATGTCGCTGACCACATCATCGTTTTTGTGTTTCTCAGTCATTGCAATCTTTTGTCTGTTATGAAAATACAACAGTAACAATAATTGTGTCTGCGGATTATTTCATACTTCGTCGTCGTCGGTCATTGTAGTTCTATGGTTGTGGTAGTTCTGTATTATTATTATTATTATAAAACAAGATTTATATAGCACCAACAGTTTGCGCAGCGCTTTACAATGTAAGGAAGGCATTGCTATCACAATACAATTCAAGACAAGATGGTAAGGAGGGCCCTGCCCCTGAAGGCTTACAATCTAAAAGGGAGGGAGAAGTGATACATGAGGAGGGAGCTATGTGGGGGTGAATTGTTTAAGAATGTGATGGTTGAGTGGTTAGGTTGAAGTGTGATAGGCTTCCCTGAAGAGATGAGACTTTAGGGATCACCTAATGGCAAACAGGTTGGGGTAAGGAGTTCCAGAGGATGGGAGAGACTAGAGAAGTTCTGGAGGCGAGCATGGGAGGAGTAGACGAGGGAGCTAGAGAGCAGAAGGTCTTGGGGGGGGGGGGGGGGGGGAGGAGGAGAAGGGACAGTTAGGCCTCATTTACACCAGGGCGAAAGCGTTTCAGCGGTTTTTTGGGAAGCGTGTTTTGGCGCTGAAACGCAGTCAAAAACACTGATCAGCACATTTCCATTGAAGTCTATATGGAAAACATGCTGATTAGCGCGGCAAAAGTAGCCGGGGAGCATTTCAGGCGACATAGGTATTGGAACGCGCGATCCAGTGAACGGCCCCCATAGGAATGTATGGGATTTTCAATGTTGGCGTTTCAGCGTGGGAAAATCTGCACAATGAACATGCCCTGGTGTGAACGGGGTCTTAGGGTGATAATTTAGAGACCAGCTTGGAGATATAGCCAGGGGCAGAGTGGTGGATGGCTTTGTAAGTGGTTGTTAATATTTTGAATTTTATCCTTTTGGGGGCGAGGGGAAGCCAGTGCAGGGATTGTCAGAGGGGAGTGGGGGATGGAAGCCAGTGCAGGGATTGGCAGAGGGGAGTGGGGGATGGAAGCCAGTGCAGGGATTCGGCGAGGGGGCCAGTGCAGGGATTGGCAGAGGGGAGGGGGGGATGGAAGCCAGTACAGGGATTGGCAGAGGGGGGTTGGTTACTTGAATGAGTCTAGCAGCAGCATTCATGATTGATTGAAGGGGGGAGGAGCCTGTGTAGAGGTCGGCTAGTGAGGAGGGAGTTGCAATAGACAAGACGAGAGATAACAAGTATGCGTATTGGGGCTCATTCACATCATAGCGTTGCACTACATGTGTAGGATCTGATCTGTATGGCACCCCAATGCCATACAGATCTTCCAGCAGGTGTGTGTTGCAACGTGCGGTACTGCAATTGCGTGTGTTGCCGTGCGGTGTAAAAAGTAATGCATGCACTACTTTTTGTATGACAGCGCCACATGTTATTGTGGTACTGTGCATTTTGTAGCAATGCGATGCACCTTTGCCTGGAGGTCTCTTGGGGTGCCATACAGAAGGAATGCCCATACAACACACTAGCACACCTAGCATGTGATACCATCTGCTCTGTGATAGCGTGTGCTAAATACATGGATCCTACGTGTTTAGCACAAATCTATGGTGTTAATGGGCCCTTAAAGTGACACTAAACTCAGGAGTTAAATCTTAAAAGTACCCCAACTATTAACAAAAATTAGGGCTGCGGAAATTAACGATTAATTTCTCGATTAATCGTTAAACTTTTTGATCGATTAAAATTATTTTGATTGCCAATAAACACCTCTCGGCTTCCGGGAGTCCCGTCGGATATCCGGTGACGTCACCGTGCTCCCTCCCCCCCTTCCCCAAGTGGCTCTGTCGGCTAACGAAGGGAAGGGGAGAGGAGTCCGGTGACGTCTATGTCCGTGACGTCACCTGTGAGTTTGCCCAAGTGGGGGAGATGATTTGGGGATCTACAGCCGAGTGATTCACAAATAAGAGACATTTTTGGTAATAGTAAAGGTATTTGAATGCATTTTTAAGATTTAACTTCTCAGTTTAGTGTCACTTTAAAATATCCGGTGTGCTTAATGGCCCCTCTGCTCCTACGTTCCTTCCTTGTGCTCCCTTTTTGCCCATTGGAGCCAAATAAAGAAAATCCTGTGTAAGCTAATCTGGTTTTTAGTAACTTTACAAGTCTGCATAAATAAACTCCTGACGTGACGTGACGATACACAGCAGCAGTATAATATTTTCAAAAAAGTGCCACTATTTACAAGTCAAGTGACTTTGCCTGGGCCGAGACGATGGCACCAACCTGCAAGCAAGAGCAGCATATCCTTGCTCTCCTCTACCCTCAGTGCTCAGAGTGCAACGTTGTATCTTTGAAAAAAAAGTAACAAGGTGTAAGACATTTGTGAACTCAGCCAAGAACTGCACAGATCGGGATTTAAATGATTGTTCCAGCACATGAAATAGATGATGATCCTGGATAAAGTTTGGACAAAGATGGCTATTCCCTTCTGCCAGAGCAGGTGAAGGCATTGTCAGTGGGAGTGCTTATGAGCTCGATGAGAACCAGTGCTTACTGTGTTATATACATAGGCAAGGAGGTCTCAGCTGTGTCTCTTGCCAAATACCTTCATCCTACTGGGTGTCATTAGTATTGTCAAAATGTATACACTCCTGAGAGTCTAAAAATTAAATATCACTCATGATTATAATAATTCGAGGGAAATGTGTGGGAATGGTCCACTGTTTTGCAAATATGAATAGAAACAGGATGTTCAGACCTCCAGTATCAGTGGTACTCAAACCCATAAAAGTCTCTCCATACATATGTGAGAAATTGTCACAATTTTATTGTACTTCATAATTAAACCAAAATAGGACGAACGTGACATAACCCCCCCCGCCCCCCTTTCCTAAATTCTTTCAAAATATCCCCAGTATGACCTATCAGGCCATATGCTTTTAAAAAAAGGTCTCATGTAGAGGGAAACGCGTCAAGGCAAGTGGCCATTACAGGCTGTGGAATGGACTATCTTTACAGCCAATATGGAATATACTACCAATGAGGTTTCACCTCTGAACAATCCAGTGTTCGTTAAGAACCGAGATCTGGGTGAGAATATTGCAGCAAATGGCTTTGGTTAGGGGGGGGGGGTCACTGCAAGGGTATTTTTTTTTTTAATTCCTGGAACTTGGCTCTAAAAAGATGATTTAAAAAAAAAACAATTTCTGAAATTATAACATGTTAAAGTTTATAAGGTTTATTTACAAAAGGGTGAAGGGTTTGGAGAAGGCAGGATCAAGTGAACAATCTAGGACAACATCGCTGAATTGGAACGTGAGCTGAATTGGAGAATTTTTCTAAATCTGCTATTTTGGCCTAGATTGTTTTCTTCTCCTGCCTTCTCCAAACTCTTCACCTTTTTGTGAATAACCCTGTATGTGATTGGGGCTAGATCTACTTTAACCCCTTCATGACCGAGGCCTTTTTTCATTTTTTTTGTTTACATGTTATAATCCACATTATACTAGACCCCCATGTGAAAGCAGATTGGTGGTGACAGGTACTCTTTAAGGTGATACTGGGGGTCCAAAAGACCGCTAGTATAACCTTTGCACTTGAAATAAGCTATTGAAGTGCAGATCACACTTCAAAAGCTTATTGCTGGGCTCCAGGAGCTGAGCACTGACAGCTACGGGACCGGAAGTGATGCAATCTGCATCACTCCCAGTCCCATAGTACGGGAAGGAGATCGGTAAATGGACGTTTGGCGATCTCCTCCCCAGCTTCCCCTCCCCCCGACACCCGAGATGCCAGTCCTGGGCCCGTAGGAGGGGCAGCGGAGCCCGTGAAATGCGGGGGTGACAGCTGAGTCGCCAGAATCACTTCTATTGTAAAGCCGGCCGTTGGCTTTACAAATGTAAACAGTCCAGGCGGCAAAAGCCGCCAGGAATCTGTTAAATGGTCATGTACGTCACTGGTCATGAAGGGGTTAAGAGGGTACTGTAGAACTCCATGTCTTATCAGATCGTCACCATTGACTTGTATGGGTAAGAGAAGCAGCAGACATGCAAGCAAATACTACACAAGTCCCTATCTGTAAAAAATAAGTCAAAGCAACTGGACTTGCTGTATTTTTCTTCAAGACATTTCACTGGTCATCCGACTAGCTTTCTCAATTCAGAATGACTTGTACAAAAACATTCTCTGGGAATAAATATGGTGAATGTTGTAACTTGCTCACACTGTTCAGTGGTGCGAATTGGTGTTACTGAGGTTAACCAATAACTGCCTGACACCACTCCACCCTCTTCGTGGTTATTAATATTTGTTCGCAGATACTACGATGGCGCAATGACTGAAGGCATAAAGAGGAAATGTGGTGATTGTGCAATATCTGTGGTTGGAGATAGGACATTTCATGTCAGTTTTTCTTGTTGCACCATGCTGAAATGCCTTTTTCCAAGGTACTAAGAGAGGAACATCCAGTAACTGAATCAGTGCAAATGAGAGCCAAGGATTCTAAATATCTGTCAAGGAACCTGTACAGCAGCCTTTCTCAACCAGAGTTCCGTAGAACCTTAAGGTTCATCCAGATGTTGACAGGGTTCCTTGAGAAGAAAGTCGAGATTCTGCGTCTCGGATATGTAACCACTGACACCAATGATGATCTTATCTATCTGTAAATCAAGTAATTTCTCTCACTGAGTGTAAGAAGCATTCTTCCCACTGACCACCAACATGCTAATGTATAGTGAGCTGTAGATATAGTCATTATTGGTAGGGACTCCTTAAGGCCTGAAGGTAATTTCAAGGCTTCCTCAAGAGGTTGCCCAGGGTTCCTTGAGGAGAAAGCAGTTTCTGCCCCCAGATATGTCACCACTGACACCAATCATCTTCTTAGCTATATGTAAGGAAATCATTCTTCTCACTCACTACCAATGCAAGAAACATCCTTTCCAGTTACCACCACGCTAATGTAACGTGAGCTGTAGATAAAGTCATTATTGGCAGAGATTCCTTAAAGTCTGAAAGGTGATTTCAAGGGTTCCTCAAGAGGTTGCTGGGGGTTCCTTGAGAGGAAAGCTGTTTCTGCCTCTCAGATATGTCACCACTGACATCAATGATCTTCTTAGCTATCTGTAGGGACGTCATTCTTCTAACTGACAACTGATGTAAGAAGCATGCTTCCAACTGACCACCACACTAAGGTGAGCTGTAGATAGTCATTATTAGCAGGGATTCTCTAAAGCCTGAAGGTAGATTCAAGTGTTCCTCCATAGTTTGCTGGGGTTTCCATGAGAAAAAAGCAGTTTCTGCATCGTAGATATGTCACCACTGACGCCAAAGATCTTCTTAACTATCTGTAAGGAACTCATTCTTCTCACTCACTACCAATGCAAGAAACATCATTCCCACTTACCACCACGTTAATGTACTGTGAGTTGTAGATATAGTCATTATTGGCAAAGATTCTTTGAGGTCTGAAGATAATTTCAAGGGTTCCTCTAGAGCAGTGTTTCTCAACCTGTGTTACCTCAGGACCCACATTTGTCCTTGGTAACTAAGTCACAACCCAAGTTGCACTGCAATAAAACGCATGGCATTAGGATACCGCGCGTTCCAGTGCGGGTGTATGAACTGTGGGTGGGAGGTGCGTTTGGGGTACCATTCAAATGAAAGGCAACGCAACACACCTCCCACACCCGAATGCACGGAAAGTGCGATTGCGTGGTACAGTGTTTTAATCGCAGGGTACTATGCGATTATCGCACTGTACTAGTGTGATTGGGCTCTCAAAAACACTGACATACATACACAACCACAGACAAATTCTCAAACACTCACAGACATTCTCAAACACACATACACAGTCCAAAAAAATAAAAAGTTTTAATTTCCACCCACTTACCCTACCTTACCAGAACTGGAGTGGATCCTCATCACAGTCCAGTGTGGGCTGTGATGGAGCTCCATCCAGGGCCGGATTTGCTCTCCCTGCCGCCCCAAGGACAGGTTCCGCAATGCGCCCCCTCCCCGCCAACACGCCCCCCCCTCCAATCAACGGAGAATGGAAGCGGATGGCAGGGTTAGTTCTAATTTTTTTTCTTTATTCTTTCTTAGTTTTTTATCACTTTTTTATCTTTATTTATTTTTTACATTTTGAGCTTGTTTTATTTTTTTTTATAATTTTCTATCTTATTGTTGATTTATTTTTCATAATTATTTTCAATATTCTTCTTATTTTTTACTTTTTTTTTTCTCAAATGAATATTTATTGAGTTTAACAAAGAATACAACACATACATGTTGCAGTAGAATCATACATCTATGGTAAACAGGTCAAGCACTATCAACATACGGTGCATGAAATTCAAAGCAGTAATAGAAGTACACAGCTTTGGTCGTTATAACAAGTAGGACTCCTTGGCCAAAGTATACAAGCTAAATCGGTATCGGCCCTAGTCCAACCTTGAAATACTCCAGCACTTAGAGCTCCTGTTTTAAGACATTGGTACCTGATATTGAGTGACTTAGGATGGATGACATATGGCTCAGCTTCATCTAGTGCTATCAGCAGTCAGAGAAATCAGGACCTGTGCAGCTCTAACATACTAGCAACAACATATAACACAAGACATGGGGAGACATAGGAGGACAAAATCTGACAGGACGGAGAAGAAGGAAGGAGGAGAGAAGGGGAAAAGAAGAAGGTTCAGGACCGTATCTATTGACGGAGGGGACAGTCGACAATGGAGCATTGAGAAGGGCTTCAAATGTGGCAGAGCCGCCGGGAGGCAATTGAATTAAAGAATTTATCGATCCACGGGGACCAGATTGCTTCGAATTTGTGCATAGAGTTTTCCAATTGTGCCGTGCGCTTTTCTTGGGCCATGATACAATGAATGTGTGTGATCACATGTGAGATATTAAGAGAGTTCGTGAGCCAGTTTAGTGCGATCTCTCTCTTAGCAGAAGAGAGAATATGGAGGGAGAGTCTAAAAGCCTTATTGGGGAGATCTTCTGGTTTACAGTTTAGCGGGGTAAAAACTGGATCTTTAGTCAGCGTCACGGAGACCACCAAGGCTATGAGGGTTATTTTTTACTTTTTAATCACTTTTTTTATTTTTTTAAATTAATTATTATTTCTTATTTTTTTTTATCAATTTTTTTTTCACTTAACTTTATTGCTACCACACAGGAGAAAACAATCCCCTGTGTGATAGCAATTGGAGGTGACAGGTTCTCTTTATTGACCCTGTCACCTCCAATACAGGAGCTCCAGCACAGTACTGTGCTGGAACTCCTGTGACAGGTGAGAGGGGAAGAGCACAGCTCTCCACTCTCACTGTGTACACGGAGCGGCAGGGTTAGTTTTAACCCAGCCACTCTTCTTCGGAGTCCCGAAGACCAGCGATGAGAGGTAGGTGCGGGGGCAGGGGGGGCACTGCACACATATTACAAGTGATCGCGGCGACAATCACTTGTAAACGAACGGCCGGATTCCCCAGTTACTGCCCGGCGCCCGGAACATGTCGGGGGACTCCACAGCGCTGCTGCCCCTCTGCTACGTGCCGCCCCGAGGCCGGGTCTCGGTGGCCTTCTGGGGAATCTGGGCCTGGCTCCATCCATATGTGCATTGCTTGTATAGCTCCCTTGCGTGCCCTGTAGAGCCCCATCCTTTCCCATCTCAAGCTGACACTTGGCACTGGGCAGCATATTTTGAATGGCTGCTTGGCGCGAGAACTGATAGTGCTGTGCTAGGGTGAGGCTGAGGAGGCCCTCACCTAGAAAAGTGGAAGGAATGTGGCGACCCACTGAACACGAAGTCGCGACCCGCTTTTGGGTCACGACCTACAAGTTGAGAACCAAGGCTGTAGAGGTAGCTGGGGGTTCCTGCCTCTCGGATATTTCACCACTGACACCATTAATCTTCTTAGCCATCTGTAAGGAAGTCATTCTTCTCACTGACTACCCATGTATGAAGATTCCTTCCCACTGATCACCACACTAATGTAACGTGAGCTGTAGATATAGTCATTATTGGCAGGGGTTCCTTGAGGCCCGAAAGTAATTTCAAAGGTTCCTCCATGTTAATAAGGTTGAGAAAGCTGCTCCAAATCAAGAATGGAATGTGGAGGCTGCCATTTCTTCCTGAAATGTTAGACGCTTGGCTGTTATTAGGGACAGATTAAGAAAGACAGGGAAATGTCTAAAGTTTTCATCTGCATAATTGTTTACAGTTAGTGACTCAAAGTACCAACACAAGATGGTAGAAGCCTGACACCAAGCCGACTAGTATTTTCAGGGGTCACCAGAAATGGCATCCATTTTTTTTACGAAGAGTCTTCTGGCCAGTCTGATGACATCATGGGTTGTTCCTCTTCCCCTACGGTGGTGGTGGGTGCTCTTTTCTGCTTCACTGAATGGCGGTCACATATTGGTATGTAAGGGCCGTCCAGTGTAGCTCTGAATCCAGGATGTGTGGTGACACAGCCCTAGGGGGGTGGGTCCATGACAGCCTGGGCTCAGAGGAAGTGGGTTGGATGATGCTGGTCATGATTCATCCTGAGGTAGGAACGCTATCTAGTGGTGGAAAGGAATTACTGTGGATAGCTCTGGATTGAAGATGAGTATTTCACCAAAAGCTGACCAAGGAAATTTAATACACCTTGATGTGCATCGTTGTGTGCTGTAATATGCTTTACAATGCGTGTTGACATGTGTGTTTTTATGTGTTAATAAATATTATAATGGTTGTAATTTTTTATATTTATTAGATTGTAAGCCCTCAGGGGCAGGGCCCTCCTTACCGTCTTGAATTGTATTGTCATGTGTTCCTTATATTGTAAAGCACGGTGCAAACTGTTGGTGCTATATAAATCCTGTATTATAACAATAGTGATAATAATTACCCCCAACAATGAAGTACATCAGTAAAAGGCTTAAGAATTATGAATTGTGTCTCATTTTTTTCTTTTATTTAGAGTTTTTATATCAAAAGTTTTTATTGGTTTTGTACATAACACACATATGTAAACAGTGTCAGCACACAGTTACAGCAAACATTATGGAAGTAGTGGATATACATAACATCACTAAAATAGGCAAGGCTCGATTTGTGGACACGTTGTTGCAAACTGTTTGAGGAGTGGTCCTGCTGACCCGTTGGGTCTGGGCCACATTAAGGGCCACGTGAATACGGAGGGGTCAGAGCCAAGTTACAGAGCTATGAGAAAGGAGCGGTACTTTAGTGAATCGCTATAGTGCAAATTCATCACTTGTTCATTTAGAGTTTTTATTTGTTTCATAAGGTTTTTTTGGGGGGTTTTTTTGGGTTTTTTTTGGGGGGGGGGGGGGTGGTTAAGTCTGGACAGTCCCATGCTCACTTTAAATAATCTGCAGTGGAAAGCAGGTTACCTGACAGTGGCTTCCAAAAATATTAAAGCTGATCTCCGGGCATGTAACAGGGATGCAAATTACTGCAGCTCTGTAATCATTAATACAGCTTTAAATATTTTTAACATGCAAGCAGTGTACAGCTAGCCATACGCATCCAGCATTGCTGTATCAGACAAATCACTCGATTCCCCCATCTACACTAAACAGAATGAATGGCGGCTGTCTGAATACATGAACAGTAAAGGGACATCCCACATTTTGGGGGGTTATCAGAACAGGAATAGATGAAAAATATTCCAATAACCACCAGGCATTTCTCTCTCTTTGGAGGGATTTCCTCTCACTTCCTGTTGTGACTATCAGACAGCAAGTGAAGGGATATCTCACCAATGGGACATAGATGGCAGCAGACATGCCAAGTCTCCCGGATGTTCCGGGAGTCTCCCGCTATTAGATAGCGGCTCCCGGACGCCCGCAAGAGAGACATTTTATCCCGGAAAGGATTGAAACCTTTCCGGGTCTGCTGCGCTCGCCGCTCACTAGTATAAATAAAGTTTTTCGCTGTAAGGGAAAAAAAAGTTCATGCCTGCAGATCCTGTAACGGTGGCTGGTCAGTGGGAGGGGTTTAGGCACGGCAGGGTGGCTTGTGATTGGCTGGAGACAAAAGTCCCTGAGCTAGCTCTGCAGACACTTTGTGATGAGTGCTGAGGGGGAGCCGATAGAAGACGCCTGTGGAGGGTGAGTGGCACACTTCCTAGTCTTGTCATATACTGTAGTGTTAATAATCACAAATAAAATAAAAACATAATGTAATTAATAATAATAAAATGGTATTATATCTACTATGTTTGTGTGTATGTATGTATATGTATATATATATATATATATATACACATACATACACTCGCACATATATACTATTATAATTATTATATTATTTTTTATGTTATTATTAATTAAATAATGTTTTATATTTTATTTGTGATTATTAATATTATATGCTGCTGTTGTAAATCAGCAGAGGTGGACCTGAGGTGCTCCTCTGCTGATTGACGGCAGCAGTGGGTGGGTACAAGAGCAAGCCTGCTATTGGCTATTGCAATTTGAAATGACCAATAGCAGCCTAGCTATTCATTCCCTTGCTGTTTATTTTTTTTATTGTGAAGGTGGCCGACGGCCGCTGTCAAAATAAAAAAAACAGACAGTACCTCCCTGAAATGAGAAGGGCACCTCCCTGAAATAAGGTTTTGCAGGTTGGGATGTCTGTGGCAGTAAGCTGACAGGGGTTGTAACTAGGGATGCACCGATACTGGTTTTTCGATATCAAGTAGACATGTGCGATTCGTTGCGTTACGAATCGAAATTCGTACGAATTTTCCTGAAATTCGTAGATTCGTAAGCATCTGAAATCCGAATTGCAGTTTCCGAATTATATCCGAAATACGAAATTCCGTTAACGAATTTCTTTGAAACATGAACTAATATTA